ACTTCATCGAAAGCCAGGTTGTCACATTTCTGTTTTTTTGCACAAGGACCTTCAATCTTCGACAATCTGGCTTCTTCTTTGGCTTTTCTCGCCAGACTTTTCTGTAGACTTTGACTAATTTTTTTATCTGTATTGCCAATTATCATCTTACGCACTGTTCTTTGGTCGGTTAAAAAATCTCTTTCTCTTTTAGGCACTTTGTTTTTACAAAAACAATTATCAAAATCTTCACCACACTTGCATGCAGATATGTCAAACAAAGTTTTCTCACTGACTTCTCTAAACGCGAGCGTTTTTTCTTGCGACTTTCTCATGTTCTTTTTTATTGATTTATATTTTTGATTCAGATTTGCTATCAAGCTTAAAATTCTTTGATCTGAAATGATTGGAATTGATGCTTTTTGCTAGATCTGTTTTAATTCGGTTAAAATAAGTCGCGAAATGTTATTTACGCTAGGATCTTTTCCATTGGCACTTTCTTTTAGCAAATTCCTATTCCACAAATAACACTTCATTACGTCAGAGTTTGTAGGAAGGACATTTTCTAGCAAATCAGTAGGTAAACCAAAAACTTCACAAAATAATTCTTTACGTGTTTTAGGCATTTTATATTTGAAAAAAAAGTATAAAATCAGTTTGGTCGTCAATGGTAACTGCGAAAAGGAATCTAGCAAAAATTAGAGATGTGCATACAAATGAAATTGAATTGTTTCAGATTTATATATTAGTTTTCATTGTTGCTAAGCATAATCAAGAATTTTAGGAGATGTTGTGTACTGTGTAGTATTTTTGAGCAGAATCGACCATTTTTATACGTTAATAGTCGAGACTTTACTTGTGTTAATAGTGAAAATCTAAAGGAGCCTAGAGGAACCTCAAGACGTATACAAAAGTGGTTTAAATTTTAGTGATTTATTAATTGACCTAAAAGACATCTTTTGACAACACAGGCATTTGAAATTTCGAAAAAAAAATTTTTCACTCCACCCTAGTGGGCATAACGGCGTAGTAGTTTTACCCCACTTAAACGGATTTGAATTTGTAGGAAAATGTTGAATAATGTATTTCCTTGTAAATCTGTAGAGTAGCTCGGACATGTCGTCAACAGTTTTTGACCAACCTGTTATTTTTGCGGGAACAATGAGTTCGCCAATTGACTTGAGCACCGAACCCTGATAATGAAGTGTCTTGATGTGGTTGAGACATGATTATACTCAGTTTTCATTCAGGAGCTTGAGAGACTGCTTCAATGAGCCTGTTTCAGTCAAGGAACTGTCTGGCTTGACAAAGTTTGAAGAGGTTTTGCGCCATAAGCAATTGATTTCTTCATTGTTGCTGTTTTTTAAATAGCTGCGAACCTTCATTTTTGTTTTTTTTTTCCGAGTTTCGTAGGCAACGATAGCACTTGCAATACACATCCACTGATCGGCATGGCAAGCCAATCCCTGACTTTACTTACTATTAGGTTGTCTAAATTAGACGGTATCCATGTTGGCGAGAAGTTGTAGCTGCGAAGCTCAAACATAATTTGTGTTGGGATGAAGTAGCGTAGTATTTTGAGTTTTTGTTGCGGTTTGATGTCCAGATCAGAGGTGGTCTCCAACAATACAATCTACCCAAGTAGACAAAACTGCCTCAAATTTCAATGTTGGGAGTGACTTTATCATTAATTGTCAGCCTTGGAGTGAACTGCTCATAAATCCTGTCTTTTTTCTCATGCCAAATGAGTTACATTTGTCTATTCTCATTTTCATGTTTGTCCAATTGCACCATGCATAGTTCAAATCGATTAGTTTCTGGATTTCTTCTAAAGTGTGAGCAATAATCGCTGAATCGTCAGCAAATTGAAGCCAGGATTTGGCTTTTAGCCCGGAAGTTGGACCCCAAAAATAACCGCAAGTAGTGTATTCTTGGGTTTCAAGGGTTTTTATCAGCGGAGATTGAAACATAGATTAAAGAGTAACGGAGAGCACGGATCACCCTGGAGAACACCTTTCTCGACCGGTTATGTTAATTTGATGTTAATTTGCTGTTGATGGAAACAAATATTGAGTAGTCCGAGTATATTGACATTATTATTGATTTGAATTGTTGGGGTACGTGATGAAAGGATAGTATCGAGTCTATGAGAAAATGACTTACCTCGCCAAAAGCATTCTTCAAGTCCAGTAGAGCCACTATAATTGTCTGCTGGTGAGTCTTAGCATCTTTTAATAGGTGAGTCAGCATCTGAGTGTGCTCCGCGAGGCCATCAACTTTTAGATAAAATCTTTTTGGATGTTTGTATTTATGAATTTATTTAGTTTGAGAAATTGATGTAATCTATTTTTTATTAGTGTAGCTAGTACTTTGTATAAAACGGGTTGCAGCGTAATAGGCCTAAAATTTGTTGGGTCATTGGCGTCGCCTTTTTTATAGATTAAGATGGTTAGACCCGATCTCCAGCAACTTAGAATACTAAACAAGGCCCAACAGTAACAGTAGTTTGTGAAGGTAAGTTCTGAGAATAGGGCATTTCTTGAACATAATGTCTGATCCAGCGGGCATGGAAAAGCTCTGGATTTGATTCCACTAATGATTGCTGTAATTTCCTCATAAGTTGGCGGGTCAACCTTACCCTTAAAGTTTGGAACTGGCAAGGAGGGAATCCAACCAGGGATGACAAACTGTTCTTTATCGTCCGACTTCATTGCGCTACTACCTTTTTCCACGTCAAACAGTGGAGGTAGCAATGTAGCAATGTGGTTGGCGAGAACGTTTTTTTGCATGTTTGCCAGAAATTCTTTGACAGCCGGGTGGATATACTTGACTGACCGTTGGCTTTTAATCACTTTGCTCTGTGAAGTGTTGATCTGATTAATTTACTAACTTTGCTTATCTCGGTGTTGTATTTGTTTTTTTTTAATTTTTAGATTTTTGAGTTTATTTTTTAGTTGTTTGATGTTAGCGTTGACTTTTGATGAGTTGTTAGATTTTAGAGTGCCATATGTGTAGGGTTAGGGTTAAGTATTGATAGAAGTATTGATAGACTGTTTGTTGTAGCTGTAGAGTGGAACTGTCAATGTCGTCAAGGTTGTTGAGAAAATTTAGTTTATGGTGAAAGTACGCATTAGCCTCTGACCACTGCAGTTGAGTTTTGGGTAGTTTAACGCCTGGTAGAGGATGTGAAGTTGTTGTTGAAGTGGATTTATGTTGAAATGATCGAGGTTCGTTGACTGTTTTGTTAACGTTGTCGATTTGATTATTTGACGAGAATGGAACATTTTGCAAAATCTGTGGTGCATAATAAGTCCTTTTCGACCTCGAAAATATCTTCCGCAGCAGCAAGGCAACATATTTGACGAAAAATTATTGTCTAGAATGTTATTATTTAAAACGTTAGTTGATATCGTATCCAAATTGTTGTCAATCAAAATGATATTTTCCGAACTTGTGTTTACAAACTTATTTAGCGGAGAATTATTATCAAGATTGTTGTTATTATTTGAAATATCCAGTGATGGGCAACTAAATACTTTTAATTAAACTATAACTATTTTTCAACTAAAAATAAGTAGTTAAACTAATAGTTATAAACTTTTTTCAAAAAGTAGTTAACTAAACTAAAAAAAGTAGTTAAACTTTTTCCAACTATTTTGCAACTATTTTTATATTTACTTTTTTACAGACATAATCAAAAGTGGCATTAATACTAACATAACAAACTATTCAAAACATGTATTTTCTTGTCATTAATCTAAAATAACACTTAGAAATTTAAATACCTTGAAAATACAAAAATGTAAGCTTTTGTAACAGAATAATGGCAGTCAGTAACAGTTAGTTTAAAAATTCATCACATAGTATTTTAAATAATTCTATAATTGATAAAACATGAACATTTTCATGCAGTAAATTAAGTAATGTTCTGACTATGAAAGATCTTTAGTCTTTTCAGTTCAAATATATACAGTATTTATTTCATCCTAGACTGAAGAAACACAAGCTTGTCTAAAGTTTCATCAGACATCCGACACCGTCTTGCACTCAAAACTTGTGAAGCAACACTGAATAATCTTTCGACGGCAGATGAACTTGGTAACGTGGAGTTACTTTTGCGAAATGCCTCCTTCACTGTCGGATATGCCAATAAGCTGCTGACACTGTCAGACTTACAAGCCAGGTATCCTGAGATCTGCATGAAAAATCAGAATGTTGCTTAATTACTTGCTTAGCACACATAAAAATTGGATTTTATAATTCCTTTTTTAGAAAAAATAAAAAATTTCTAGATTAAAAAAAATATAGTGAATTATTACCTCATCTGATATAGCCACAGCTGGACTAGACTTGTCAGTTGTTTTGAGAAAACTATAGAGGTCATCATTGTCCGAAGATCCGTCCGTTGAGACGCTTTCATATGTTGCATGTGTTGGTCCTGCAATCTCTTGCTGCACTTGTTGCACAAATGTCAGCAACATATGCCTGTATTGCATGCGTGTTTGATCATCATGCAAGAACGCCAACTTGAACTTTGGGTGAAGAATTGTTGCTATGCGGTATTCATCGCTTTCTAGTACTGTTTTAAATCTTTTTGTAATCCCTCTTATCAGTGCTGTGGTGAGAGATTTCATAATCTGGTCATTGCTGGCAATTTCAAGCTTATGCTGTAATCCCATTATGGTTGGAATGAGCTGGCCAATGTAATTATAAGTTTCGCCTTCCATGAGTTTCATTGCTAAAACTACTAGCCTCAATGATTGAGGCTAGTAGTTGAATGAGGCCATTGATGAATGAGCTCAAAAACTGCATGTCTGCTTGAGTCATTGGATTATGTTTCAGAGCTTTTTGGCATTCCACAACTTTTTCCAGTCCAATTTCAACCACCCTCTCAACAGAGTAATATTCGCTACACCACCGTGTGCATACTGGCATAAGAAATGTTTTTCCGGTAATACCTTCAACGATGTCGTTAGCTTTAGGGCTTCTGTTTACTGTGTTGCATAACGCTTGAACCTTGGTCATTGCCCGGTCATAGCTGCGCTGATATATTTTGTCATCTCGTGCAGAATAAGCGTCAGAGCTGGCCACTAAATTTAGTGAATGGTTTCCACATCTTTTATGTGGAGGAAAAATGGGTGATTCATCAGATCCCACATCATTTGGTATATCCAATAATTCTTTTAAATTTATCATTGATACGGTGCTCTCACCTTCATCCAAGATGTTGCCCTCGTCAGTTCCTTCATCATGCTCCATTTCTACTTTTCTAAAAAGACAAAATGCCTTGACAAAATTTGACGCATTATCAGTGACAACGTTTTGCAACTTTGTCGCAATTTCAAATTCTTCAAATATTCCTGAAAGCATTTGCGCAATTTTTGTACTGGTATGTTCCCCTTTGAATCGTCGACACACTAAAGCTGATGAAACCATTTCAAGAGTTTCTGGATGAACAAAGTGAATTGTTACACCCATGTAGGCTCGCTTATGTGCGCTCCATAAATCTGCAGTAGCAGACACCCAACCTGTTTTTATCAATGCTGACTTTAAAATATCTTTTTCAGCTTCATAAAGATCATGCAGACGTCTCCCAATTGTTCTGCGGCTGGGTATTTTGAACTGAGGCCAAACTTTACCACAAAATTTCAAAAAACCATTTCTTTCTACAGTTGCCAATGGTTGCATATCTTCTGCAAACATACGAGTTAAGCTGTCTTCAAAATCTGATTGATTTACTTGCACATCCTCATAACACATCTCAATCAGGAGGCTATTCATCTCTGCTATATAATATAATTGATTTTAAAATAACTCATTAAAAAATTAGTAAATTTAGTAGCAATCATTTTGTAGGTATAAAATAATTAACATAGCATAACAGAGTTTAAAGTGGTTCAGAAGACTAGAGTCTGTGTGAGAACCACTACCTAATTACTAATGGTTAGTAAATGAATGAAAGTTCCCTAGTTAAGACTTTGGCGATAGTCAACTTCCTCTGAGAATGGCAATGACCTGTGGTTAATTTTTTTTGATAACTTTCATTTTCATGGTCATGGCAATCAGTTTAATAAGAAAATAGGCAAACAGCAGTCAGTGAGTTAAGTTTAAGTACCTTTCAAGATATGAAGTACTTTGGAATAGGACTTACATTGTACGTTATAAATTTGCACTTAATCATGATGGCTTTGCCAGCCAAGCAGATTGCCACTCCACTAAACTCTTCAAATAAATTTCAGTTATTTAGAAATTAAAAATAACTCCTTATAAATAAAATCATTAACTAACATAACTTGTCATCATAAAATTTAGGCCAAATAAATTATTTAGTGTTTAAAACCAACTTAATTGAATATAGACAATTATATAAATGTATTTATTAAAATATTTTTAACAAAACAGCAACAAATTTTAAAGATTGAAAAGATTGAAAAAACAACTAACCATCAGCGGCAACCTTCAACACAGACAGGAAACAAGACATCAAACAGTCCGAAACATTGGTAAAAACCAAAAACATTGAATGTACTTTGCTTTAAAAATATGGAAAGCTTAACTTTTTACAAATTAAAATTAATATTTAAAAACCATAAGTCAAGACATGGATAAAAGATATTTATCTACAATATTTTAGTTAAACTATTTAGTTAGCAACTAAAATATTTCAGTTAAACTATCGTTTTAACTAAACTATTTTTTTTTAGTTAAACTATGAAGGAAACTAAAAAAAAGTAGTTTAACTATTAGTTTGCAACTATTTAATTAAACTATGCCCATCACTGGAAATATCCATATTATTGTTAGTTATAATTATATTTTCAGAACTTGTATTAGAATTATTGTTGTTTGAATTACTAGTTGCAGTTAACTTTTTATATGTACAACGCCAGGAGTGTTTATTTACATAACGAAATTCTTTAGAACAATATAATGTCGGAGATTTTAAATAATAATAAATTAAAATGATAAGAGGAAGCAATCTCCTCCTCTATCTTTCTCAGGGAATTTTTGTATGGTCCGACAATAATTTTTGTGTATATTTTTATCGTGAGTTCGACCAGTCCTGTGTGGCACTGGGCTTTTTCGAATTATATGATTTTACTGAGTAACACACGAACGCGTAAAAATATTCGATAACAATTTTATTAATCGACGGAAGTAAATAAAAGGAATTGAACTAATGAACTCTATAATAATGTAAATGTCAATGAACAAACTGGAATACAGGAATTAGAACTCTTCTTGTTGGGTCTTCAACTTGGAATATGTTTCTTGGCGTTTTAATCGTACAACTTCGACGTGTGTATCCGATGGTGATGTCGATACAACTCCAAGAAATAAAAAAAAATGAATCACAAAAATCGGAGCCTATGA